TGCGGTGTAGGCGCGGTGACCCTTACCAGCCACCGTATCATCTGCTGAAGTTGCCAGCGGCACATACACGCTTTGTTTACAACCAAAACTTTCTTGAAGCTAAAGCTGAAATAATGGTCAAAGGAGGAGACGGCAGCGCTCAGGACATTTATTATCCCTCAAAAAAGACAAAGTGGGAAGTACGGGCATTTTTTTGATATCTGAAGAATGCCGAGGGACAGTTGATAGAAGACAGCTATCCTGTTTGCAGCGCGAGCAGAAAAAGTGTCTGTGAAAGGCAGCAATGCTTCAAATCTCATGACACATCTGCATGGCCATCACCTACAACTCTACAGTCAACGCAAGGCAAGCTAACATTAGCGTTTTAGATAAATGCGTGATCCGAGGATTTGGGTTGAGGGAGAATGCAACGAGCCGCTATATAAAGCAGCCGCAGCGCCGCTACCTGCATATAAACCGTGTCGCGGACACCGCCATGTTGAAATGACGCTATGCATTACGGGGCTCCCAGGGGCAGATAAGAGTTGGTCTCTCTCCGAGAATAATTATGAATTTAACAATGATTACTGCCTGATGACATTTTCCAAATCTGCAAAGCTCACTGGAAGGACACAAACCGAGGATAATATCTTCCTGATATAGGGTTTATTACTCAAGTAAGGGTAAAAAAAAGTATCTGATTAGAAGGCTACTTGAGTACTGAGTATCATCTGATCTAATATTTTTAAAATGATGACATCAGACAAAAAATAAGAAGTTATGGGCAAATATTGGTATTTTAAAGACTAAAGGAGAAAAATGTTAACAAATAAACAACATAATTACAAAATAACACATTTTAGGCAAAATTTAGACACAAACTGAGGACAATATTTTCCTGATATACAGGGTTCATGTAGTTGTCTGAAAATGTAACACGTTTTAAAAAATACCGCGATAATACCGAAAACCGTGATAATTTTGGTCACAATAACCGTGAGATTAAATTTTCACACCGTGACAACCCAACACGGAAGTGAAATAAATTGCAGTTCCACCCTCATCCACTAGGGGCTGGTGTCAGAAGCGAGCAAATCCTCATTGACTCCCATGTTAAAAATACCAATTTTACAGCAGAAATAAACACGTTTACAGCCTGGTTCCAAAACATGTTTTAGGTTTAATAGATCTAGTTTACACTCATGACAACTCTGAGCAGAGTGAATTTTTTTCTCCCTCTTCTGTTTAAGTGTATTAAAAGCCTAAAATTCTGAATAATCAATGAGCTTCAGACCCACGTGACCACAGAGCTAGATCCGGGGCAAGGCCTCAGCCTGAGCCTCGGCCTTGCCTGAAAACTGTTCTACTGTTTTTCAGTCTCTCAACTTAGACCATTAGTTGTGCCGTTTGTGTATTCTTTTTGGATATTATTTGTGCAATTGTTGGACAAAATGACTTGCTGTGGCATTAATTGCACTAATAGAGCATCCAAGGAGTCTCCACTTCACTTTTCTGGTAAGTAAAATTATTTTCATGTATTTTAGGTCACTGCCGCTTTTGCACTAGCTGAGCTTAGATTTTAACATGTACTGTTTAACCATGAAATTTAAATGTAATAGGGTAAAACCCAGTGCATTTAGCATAACACTGTATTTTAGAAAACGGGTTGAAATATAACATGTTGGTGGAGCTGGGTTCCGACTATCGGTATGGTCCCCTCCCCACAGCTTGGAGCATCTCTGATCGCCGCAGCGCCTGTATGCTGCGCGGCTGCCGGCTTGTGGAGCTCTCGGGAGACCTCTGTGTTCCACCCGGTTTTACCCAGCGGCCAGCCCGGCGTATCTGTGACTCAGAAGCTCCGGTGTGCACAGTTAACTCCGGTTGTAGCTAGGTAGCTACCTCCGTTAGCTTAGCTCCAACCTCCGCGTTAGCTTTGGGTTAGCTTGTAGCTACATCGCTTCACTTCGACGGGTGTCGTCATTTGATCCCAGCCTTACAGCCCCACCCTCAGCTCCACCTCTCTTCCCTTTTATGGAATTGTCTGGGCTTGACAGAACCTGTGACACGGTCAAAATGGCGGTGGTGGCCACCTCCCATTTTGGCTTAAAAACGTATTACTGGAGCCTATGGAAACGCATTGTCCAGTATATATGTCGATGTTTCCCACTAGCATCGGCTCCACCCCGCCCGGATAGCCCCAGTCGGCCCCAGCCTGGTCCGGTTGATTCCCCACATCCTTGCTTAGGAATGCAATCAGAGATGTTCTCAGCTGCTAGGTAATAAGCATGATAATGAATTGTGCATGCCTTAAGCCCATGTGGGCTGATTCTACCCACCAATCAGAGGCTTCCCTAGCCTGGCAAGCCAGACTAAATAAATGTATTATTTAGTCTGGCCATGCTCCATTGACGGCTCTCGGTTGTGGGGCGGGTTCTACCGTTGTCTTTCAAATGATCTCCGCATTCCACTGGACAATGAATGTGACATACTCTTGTTTCACTCTGTTGCATCATCCCACCCACCAGGCATATAGAGTGCCCTGATTGGCCCACAAAGCGGATAAAGCTCTGTGATTTGTTCACTAAGCAGATAGAGCTCTATGATTGGCCCACCATTATTGACCAATCACAGCTCTTTATGTGTTTGAAACCCCTCTAGAGAGCTGTGATTGGCTAGCCAGAGTCCTGGTAGGAGCTGCTGAGGTTCCAATGGAGCATGCCTAGACCAAACTTTGCAAAGCAAGAATTTGGTCTAGTTCACTAGGCTAAGGCTTCCCCTAATGGAAGGTGTGAATTTGCTGACTAATAAGCCAGCTTATCCAGGTGGACATCGTTGCGGTAACATTACATTGATTTGCCGGCACAATGTGTCTTGTAAAAAGGGTTTAGGGGGGTGTCAGCAAATAACCTCACCCCTCAGTCTACCACCATCTCTTGCACTAGCTTCTGATAAAAAATAGGACAGTGAAAAGCTCTGATTAGAAAAGTCACTCAGATCTACATCATGCTGAAAATTAGCACCGATGGAGTCATCCATCTTGGCTCAAAACCCAGGAAGGCTGCTGATGTTGGGGCTTAGAGAAGAGAAGAGAGCATGTTTCAGTTAGTAGAAGCTAACCAATAGTATTAGCAACTCCCCAACATGGTGGGACTTGTTCAGGCTTGTGTTATTTGCAGAGATAAAACTTAATAATAGTTAATAACTTCATAATTAATAATAATAGCAAAATAAGTGTAAATTTGAGAACATTTTCTTGTCACGTTTATCTTCCTAAAAATCGCAAAGTTTGCGGTTAAAATTACAACTTTTAAACCCTGTTCTGTAGGCAGGCTTTATAAATGACACGCACGCGCGCACACACACACATGCCTGCCTGCCCACGCATGCACACACACACACACACACACACACACACACACACACACACACACACACACACACACACACACACACACACACACACACACACACACACACACACACACTTCATGTCATTCTTTAAAAGAAACTCGTGCCTCTGAACCTGCTGGAGTTTAACATTTCCTGACTTTTAAAGGTTCACTAAAGTAGGTCAGAGCTCCTATACGACTTTTTTGAATAAACTTTTCCAGCCTTTTCATCATTTATGGAGAGATGTTTGAGAAAGCGAGCAGCAGAGATGTTTGGCAGCTGGATTTTACCACACGGGACATTTCTTGACCTACCTTGCCAATGAAACGATGACAGCTACCTGACCCCCAAAGTTGTCCCCAACACCTCCCCGCTCTAGTCCTCCCCCAGGCCCTCTGCTCTCCTCCAAATGGCTCTTCAGTTACAAACCACTTCTAATGTAGGTACAGGAGCTCCTGGAGAATAGCCGCCGCACTGCCAGAGGGCTGTTTAAATATTTACTGCCGGATAACATTTCCACCATGGCCTTAACCTGTGTATTGCTGCTAATGAGTTTATTTTACTAATACCTGTGAAGGTTTGTTTATACAGCTACAGAAATGAAGAGCGAGCATTTCCACTTTTCCTTTTATGACAAATTAATTAGTGTGTAAAGTAAAGCTGGGAGGAAACACACCCTCAGACACACGCCAAGCCAAATGACTGTAGTGTTACACTTCATTACAGAAAAGCCCCATTACTCACTCCTGTACAAAGCTTGTATTTGCTGAGTGATGCATAATAAATACGACAGTAACAAGCTTTGGCGCCTGTGTTGAGGCTTTTCTATTCACCAGTCATGTGTTTGGCCTCAGCGTGCGTTAGAAGCCTTGAGCTGAACATGAAAAATCTTGTTCTGAAATTAGAGAAAGGAGGCAAGAGCAGAGGAGAACGCCTTTGGTCTCTTTAACAACTAATCTTCCTACTCATTGAGATGAGGAAATCTAATCTGAGGCTTTTTAATTTGTGGTCATTTACCAGCGGTGGAATCATCACACGCTGGATAATCTGGGTCCTTATGCGTCCTGAGTGTGTTTACAACGCTGACTCTCAGTCGTCTGCGTGAGCGCTTTGATTTAAAGATTACCTCGAGCTTCGGAGTATCAAAGTCAGCTCCCTTTTCTCCACTAATCCTCGTTTCGTTCCCTGAGGCGTGGAAGCGCGGACGCTCTCTTACTCGCACATTACCTACAAAAACACTCGCTGTGGCGTGCCCACTTTCTCTGAGCTCTGTGTCCAGCCGTCAAGCTGTTTCAGCTGGGAGACACAAAGACAACGTGCTGGCTGTCAGGCTGCCCTTTCAGCAGCATCCGCTCGCCATCGAGCCGCATCCCACTGGTTCCAGGCATGCAGCAGATTCCGTCTGTCTGCACACGCTCACACGTATTTACGTAAGAAAACATAATTTAGAAGAAAACCACGGCGTGACAAAAACAATTAACACTACTTACAAAAGGATTATATGTTCACAGATGAGAGGAATTAATCCTAATTTAGTTTGAAGTTTTAATACCCAGATTACTACGAGTTTCCTAATCTGATTGGTGTTCCTCTCATGCTGGCGTGGGGCGAGGTGCTTTCAAGTGACTCACCTGACTGTAAAATCTTAGTTGTGTCACGAATCGCTGAGGTGACCAAATCAAAGTGTCTGTAGAGCGGGTAGCACAACACCCTCCTTCCAAAGGACTCCAGGACCTCCTGCAGGGAGCTGTACGTCTACGGGACACACAACAGGAAGCGCAAAAATAGTTCAAAAAAAGATATTCCAATAGGGAATAATGAGCACAAACTGCTGGGATTAGGGAAGCTGCATCTTATTAGTTTTATATAAATTATTCTACTGACTGAATCAATTATCCTGAACAATTAGTTTCCTTTCAAAAATGTAACTAAACTATTTTGTTTTAGATGAATTGTTAATAGTTCTGGGATTTGTTGTTTATGGGTCATGGTTATTTTAATTTTAATGTTATTCATTTAGGTGTTTACATTATCTACTATTACCATTACATTATCTACTATTACTATTACATTATCTACTATTACTATTACATTATCTACTATTATCTACTATTATGAGTATGTTCTCACAGTATCACTGTATGGCAGTCCTCCTGTCTTCAAAGGTCCAGACACGGCCAACGGGCTGCCTATCGAGTACCACTGGCCTAGATTCTCGTCCAGAAATGTCCTCAAACATTTATTCAATGTGAAATGTGCCGGACAGACCACCCGTCTCACTCCACAGAGAGCTCGACTCCTTTAAGATCCTTATCATGCTTGTGCTACTGTGGTGAGACAACAAAATCCCCCATGGACACCCGCAGGTGTGTTCACCACCCTGAAGTTTTGCCAAACATTAGACTCAATGATCTGAGACTGAAGCAGACACATAACTCTAAATTTGGAGCTTGGATGCAGTGGACTAATAGAGTGAAGAAACACATCTGGTACTTAGCACCTGTGTGCTGGTTAAAAACAGATTCTCCACTTTGACTGGCAGTATAAGGCACTCTTGAAGGGTTTACTAATGAATAAATGATGTTAAATAAAAACTAGAGTCTGTCAGGCAAACAATTACCAAACTTCCATGCAGAGCATGAAGTGCCAGAAAGACCTACAAGTTTAGAGTAGACCTTCTTAACTCATTCACTGCCAACGATGACTGAAGTCTTCGCTTTAGATCCAACCGTTCACTGCCAATGACGACTAAAGTAGTCATTTGCATTTTTTTTACTGTGTGGGTGTCGGAACAAGCCCCCGCACCGTGAGAACAAACATCTCAGCTCTAAAGTCATTCTTCATCTGCATACGTCACACGTCACGTGATCAGGAAGCAGAACATCCATGTGTTAGGAGATCGTTTTGGGCCGCTGCTGTAAAAAAAAGTGAGGCGCGAACCGGAAAAGCTTCTGCCGATCACAATTCAACAACGGATTATGAAAGAACGGATAACGCTCGAAATGCGCGGATTCTTCCTGATGTGAGAGGTGAGTCTACTCTTTGTTTTGGTTGTTTTGGCGTCGACATCATCCTAGCGCGCAACGTTCTGTGACTCTTAAAAAAACAATAAAAACGGCGAGAAACGCTGGCAGTGAAGGGCTTTAGCGATCAGGAAACGGCTGGCAGCGAATGAGTTAAGCTTGAACAAAGGCCACCCTGTGGTCTGATTGGTCATGACTGGATATGTAGTGAATCTCCAAGAAAAAGGATTAGTCATTCCCATCATGTTTTATATTCTTTTGGTTATTAACTTATGTAATTTTGCTAGTTTTTTTTTTGTTGTCTTTTCTCAGTTAAAGTTACAGCAAACCAGTTAAATCTCCATTGTACAGCATTCTAACTCACATCCACTATGGCAGGTTAAAATCGCATTAGTCACCACACACCGGTGAAATTCATCTCCACATTTGACCCATCCCCGTGGGGAGAGGTGAGCTGCAGCTATGGTCGCACTCAGGACCTATTTGGTGGTTTAACCCCCCAATTTAACCCCTTTGAAGCAGAGGTTCAAGCAGGGAGGCGTTGGGTCCCATTTTTAAAGTCTTTGGTTTGACCCGACCGGGATTAGAACCTCAATCTCCCAGTCCCAGGGCGGACACTATACCACTAGGCCACTGAGGAGGTTTACCAGACTGAGTCAAAAATCAATACGAGTGCTTTTTAAAATGACTCCAAAACAAGTGAAATCTTGTGTCACTTAAGCCAGGCGTACACTGTGCCACTTTTCCAGTTGTTGCATTCAGCTCCATCTCAAACTGTACGACCCGATGCTCGGATGTGACCTGACTGTTCACACTGTACGTGCGATAGCAATGCGTCGGACCTAAAAAGTATGCAAAAAATTGTAGTTTGTACACAAAACGTCAGACCTTAAGAGTCCGAAAATCCAGAAAAAAGGAGGCTGCTGCCATTGATGTCTGTCGTCTTTTAAACTTGCCGTAGTTCTAGGACACGCAGGGGCTTTATGGGCGTTGGAAGAGGAAGACGAATGTAATGAAGTAAACCAAGGTTTGGGATTCGTTTTATTTGACAAAAATACGGCAAAATTAGCTATTGCTATTGTGTGCAAAGAAAAGTGTAAAAACAAAGAGAGACAATGTTAGTGGACAAGAAAACAGCTGGGCAGCCATATTGGCAACAGTGTTAATTTTGTAGACAAAATAGTAATGTTTTTATTTTTTCTGCGACAAATTAATTGTTGCAGACTAAAGCTAAAGGAAAACTAAAATTTATACTTCTATGAAGACTAAAAAAAGACAAATATTGATCAACGTTTTTGTTGACAAATAAAAAACGACAATGAATCCAATCAGAAAATGGAAAAGATGGGTGAATAGAAAAGATAAATTAATAAATAAAAATCAGCAAATACAACAGGCAGCACTAGACAAGAAAAGAACCAATCAGAGTCCAGAGCCGGCTGCTGTTTGAACGAGCTGCCGGTAACAGATGAACAACTGAAAAGATAAAATGTTTACAGTTGGATGGAAAAGCCTTAGATGTGACACACTCGAGGTTTCCCGTGGTTTTAAAAGTGGTGGTAGCATCAAATAGGGGTGGGTGAGGTGGGGAGTAGATTGCTGCTGCAGCTCACTTGCATCCGAACCGAATTGACAGAGCGGCTTGTCTGGATGTTTTATCATTTTTGTGGCACTGCTACGGCCAATATTATCAGCATGTGGTGTTCTGGTGGCTTTTTAGGAGGAAAAAACTTTCTGGCAGCCCAGAAAAAACACGCAGGCATACCACCTTGGTAGATTAGTGCAGGGAAACATTAATAAATGCCCCTGAAAACATTTCTTGCCTTTAGTTTACCTCCGTGCAATATTCGAGTAACACATTCTAATGTTGTGATGGTATGATGTCATTAGAGCGGCAGCAGCAGCTCAGGAGGTAGAGCGGGTTGTATAGTAATTGGAAGGTTGTAGGTTCGATCCTGGTTCCTGGCAGAGAATTCAGCTGTTGTGTCCTTGGGCAACACACTTAACCCTCCTTGCCTGCTGGTGGTGGTTCTAGGAATTGGTGGCGGCTGTGCTCAGAAGCCTCACCTCTGTCAGCGCGCCCCAGGGCAGCTGTCGCAACGTTGTAGTTCATCACCATTTATTAATGGTAAAATTTCAAACTGCCAGTGTTTATTTTGGTATTTTCCATTAATTATTGTTATAGAACAATTATAAAAATAGAGTTTTATTGATCCAATGTCTGAAATATGAACTTTTCATATTTCTTTACATTTTCAAGTAGGTGTAGTTAACGTTTCCATTACAGAAGTTGAAAATGATTGCATCAGAAGTAAATTACATCTATTTGAGTCGACTAAAATAAGACTGTGTGAGTGGTTCTGGTACATTTGGGTCGCAGCGCGGCTCCAACAGTAAGATACCCTCACGATGGGCGAGGAAAAACATCAAACATGTTTGCTTTTTTCTGTTGACATCATGGCAGAGCCCGGAAGTAAAAGAAAGGGAGTAATGTCTTATGAGGCTAAAGAAAGACCTAAGCCCAGCGTGAACAGTGCTGCAGCCTACACTAGTTTGAGGGAGCTGAAGGAGGCTACAAAATTATGGACTGATTGTGACCTGGCTTTGTTGCAAGCAGACTTGTAACCATGTGGCTCTTTTAACTTTGTGGCTCATTTATTATCGATTGGCTCGTGTTAGTGTTAGCTTGTTTTTAGCGCTAGCTACATCAGGCTGCGGCAGAGTTGATTCAACAGTTAAAATTCCACTTTCAACCAGTAGGGGGGAGAAGCAGGAGCCCTTTAATGAAACAAACAAAAACTATGAACAAAACAAAGATGTCCATCTATGACTGGAGCCAAACACCACTGATGTACACAGCTCTGACTGGTGTGTTGGTTTATTTCCATTTCTATGTATTAGAACTGTAAGCTAACTTCCTAAAATGGATGAGCCAACTAAGATTACTGACTAATTACAATTGATCGATGTCACTGACTAAAACAACGATTTATGACATCTCTACCATGGGGGAATTTTAATGTTCTCTTCCTCCCCCTTAGGATTAATACTCGCTCTCATTGGTGTGACGGAGCTCTAATTACTCCTAACAACTCTTCATTTATAGAGCTGCACAAAAAAAATGAGGCTCACAGCTCTTTAACACCTCCGCAGCCCTGGCCTGTTAATTGCTGCCTCCCTTTAATCATCGCCATCACTCAGACATTTTCCACTTTAATGGACACAGTCAGAAGAGAAGAAACAGACATTTTTCCTGCTTTGTTTTGTTTTTCTTGTGAAGGATGTGCCACAAGCTCACAAGTGTGTGTCACATGGATCATACTCTCCCCTGGGCTTGTTTAGCCCAAGCGTAAATAAGATCTGCAGCTGCACGCCGGGAGGGCTCACAGTAACACCAACCCAGTCAAACTGAGGACAAATAAACATGATGTGTGTGTGTGTGTGTGTGCGTGTGTGTGAGGGGTGGAGAAAGAGGCATGTGAGGCAGCCATTGGGATCATGAAAAAAGTGGTAGTTGAGGAGAGGACCGAGCGAGGAAGCAGTGCTACTGTCACCAGTGACAGGCAGACAGGCTGCCAGTCAAAGACAGAGGAATCTATTGTAGAGCTTATGGGGGAGGAGGAGGGGGGATTGTGCGAGGTGATACGCCGATGTGAGCTGACAGCTCTGCTGACTGCCTGACGAGCATTACGGAGGCTGTCATGCAGGTGAAAACTGCTCTTTCCTTCACTG